AGCCTCCCCGCCGGACCCACGCTGGCAGCGGGGACAGCCCAGCTCTTCCCAGGAGCAGGGAGCTGGATCCATGGCTGCAGCTACTCCTCTGCTGCTCTCGAAGCTCGTGTGCTGCCCGGGTGCCTGTCCGCCCGTCCCTTCTCCCTGCTTGCTCTCACGAGTTCCTCCTCCTCCTCCTCCCCAGGATCGTGGAAGTGGAACAGGACAACAAGATGACCTCAAGCAACCTGGGCATCGTCTTTGGGCCAACGCTGATGCGCCCAAGGCCCACGGATGCCACTATTTCCTTGTCCTCGCTGGTTGATTATCCCCACCAAGCTCGCATTATCGAGGCGCTCATCATCTTCTATTCGACCATCTTTGAGAACAAGGAGACCGTGGTGCTGGCCGACTCCAGCAAATACACTGCAGACAGCAAGGAGGAGGCAGCCAGCTGCTCCGACCTGGTAGGAGCCTCTGGGGAAGGGAGCACCCTTAGGGGATGTGGAGCCTACCAAGACAGCCTGCTCGCGCTTGCACCCTGGAGCAGATCAGCTAGGGCAGACCCTCCTAACACCCCCCCCTCCCGAACGGGGCCCCGGCCTCGCGCTCTGCCCTGCGGATCGCGCCAGCGACCTTCCCCGTCCCCGCTGTGCCGCGCCATGGTACGGGTCTGGCCGACGCTGTTGCCTTTCTTAGAAAACCTGACGTGCTTCGTCACGTCCCCGTGTGCATCCCCACTCCACTTGTGAGTGATTTTCTGCCCCAAAAGAACAGGGTCAGTAGGTGAGACAGGCGGGGGGGGAGGATGGAGCCTACGCACTTTTACACCGGGACAAAAGTTGGTATTTCTCCAGTGAACAATGCGATTTCTGGAACCATTTCTCAGTGAATGAGGGTTTTCTCCTCTGTGTCCTCACCACCGTACCCCTTCCTCCCAGGCCAACGTGGGCTCCCAGCCCGCAGCTCCTCCCGGCAGCGTCCCCTACCTGGAGGTGCCTGCAGAGAAGAGGAATTTGGATTACGGCGCCGACTCCTTCACAGGTAAGGGAAAGGCACCCGGTGGCTCCTCCGCAGTGGCACAGGTCTCTCGGGAGGTCCGAGCTATGTCACCAGCGGCAGCAACACAAAGCCCTTCCCCTGTCCTGAGGAGCACAAGTTTGCAGCACAAAGCTCCTGGTGCTGGGCGCGAGCGTAACACAGGGCTCCCTCTGTCCCGCAGAGCCTGGCGACCGCTCCGTTGACTCCGACTCCGAGCTGGAGGACAGCGGGGAGCTGCTGGCCGCCGCGGACGGGGGCCCACGAACCCAGCTATCGAAACAGGAGAGCGAGACCAGCACAGACGAAGCTCAGTGCTGTGATGACGGGAGCGAGGGGCAGCGGAGCCGGAGCTGCAGCATGGGCCAGTCGGACGCGGAGGGCCCCGCTCCCCGCTGCTGCAGCCCCGGCGAAGAGCAAAGTGATGCAGAAGAATACCCCGAGAGCCGCCTTTCCACTGCCAGCACGGACTACAACACAAACCAGTCCAACAACACGTCCACGCCTGTCCCTGCCCGGCATCTGGCAGCCAGGTGCCAGGGCGGCCGTGAGCCAGGCAGCGAGCAGCGGCCCCGGTTTATCTAAGCCACCGAATAAAAAATACCGCGGGCGCTGGGACAGGGCAAAGGGGCAAAACCCAGAAAGTACCCAGGCGCAGCGACTCGCGAAGCTGTGACGTTGAGGGGTGGGGAGGGACAGCACGGAGCCACGGGCAGCTCGGGGGGTCCGGTGTGTCAGCTGCAGGCAAGTCCTCGCTGTTTCGTGGCTGGAGCTTTCACACAAAACCCCTGAGCCCCTTGGCTCCCGACGGGGAAAGTCGGGTCAGCCTGCCTCGCCTGCTGGGAGCCCCTGCTCAGTCCAGCAGCCCATGAAGCACGTTTCTCGTGAAGGAGCCGAAGCAGGGCAGACCCTTCGCTCGTCGTTCTGGCCTGGGAAGGAACCCAGGGCTTTGCTGTGCCAGGTCACAGGCTTCATTTTTGCCACACTCCCTAATCCTATGCCTCCGCTGCAGAAATTGAGATAGGAAGAGTCAAAGGATCTGACCATCCTCGCTGGCTGCGGCTGGGAGGGGAGAGGAGGCTGCCGGGAGGTGACGCAGGGAGAGCTCCCCCGCAGCAGGCGGGAGAAGGGCGCTGCAGAAAGGCACGGGCGCCGCACGGACAGACGGGCGATGGCGAGCACTGCGTGCGTGGGCTGGCTGCCGGCCTGGGAACCAGCTCACCAGGAAGGGATGGCACGGCCAGAGGAGCGCTGCGTCCAGCGTAGCCGGGTAAAAGCCACTCGCACCATGTCACACAGAGCTGCCCTCGGCTTTAGGGCCGCGGCTGCACCGTTTGCCAGGCCCCGCAAGGTACATTTGTTTTATAACTGGCTGCACCAGGCACCCGAAGTCCAGCGAAGAATTTACTGCCTCGGCACTTCCACGCAACACAGGACTCGGCGAGCGACGTGCCTCCCCTGGCTCGGCCGACGAGGTTTGCATCGCTGCTTGTACTTACGGGCATTTTTCTTCTCGGCAGGAGCCACGCAAAGAGCAGCCCGCAGGCTGTGCTCAGGGTCCTGAGCGTTGCCTGATCTCTCAGGGATTTTTTTTTTTTTTTTTTATAGACATTTGCTTTCCAAAAATCTAAGCTGCAAGGCCAGGCCTCCGCCTTCGCTCTCCCAGCCGGCCCCGAGCTGGAGCGGGCAGAGAGCAGCTCACCAAGGGGAGACGCCTCCTCCTCAGGGCCGCCGCGGCCGCGGTCGAGTCGCAGCCCCGCCAGTCTGAGAGGCTTTTTTTTTTGTAAAGAGAGAAACCTTGCCCCCCCCCCGCCAGTCTGAGAGGCTTTTTTTTTTGTAAAGAGAGAACCCTTCAACATGAATCCACTACCTCTGCTGGCAAAGGAACTTAAAGGGTCAAACAAGACCAGCCAAAGTATTTTTTTTTAAACCTATGAGACTTTTCTGCACTGAAGCAGAAAAACCAATAGATTTTAAGCTTAGAAAGAGGTGAAAGCTGTTTTCTTCTATTACCCTGCTTGTACCTGGGCTGCGTTCCTGCCGGCCCCGCGGCATGCCCCTGCAGCCGCGGCCGGGAGGGCACGCGACGGGCGAGGACCGAGAGCTCCCGGCCGGGACGGATTCTCCAGGGCACCTCGCGCACGAGCGACGCGCAGCCCGCGGCTCCCGAGACTGCACAAATCCAAAGCTGCTTTCTAGTGATTAGGCAGGCCCTTCCTCAGCGCGACGCCGGACACCAGATCATCTCGGTCCGCTCACCCATCGGCCTCGCCGCTCCGGCTCTGGAGAGCGTCCGCCACAGCGGGATGGCGAAGAGTCGCTGAGCGGCGTTTGGAGTACGCACCTCGCGCCCGCCGAGCCGGGCGATCGGCCAGGTGTCTGACCCCTCGGGGGATCAGGCTCCAGCGCAGGGGGGAGCCCGGGCTTTACAGCGCCCAGAGCTCTCCGAGACTCATCGGAACGCATCTCAGCGTAGCAGGGTAAAGGTACACAAAGCCAAAGTTAATTTAGGGCTAAATGGTTTATAGCTGAGCCAAAGAAGTGCCAGAGACCTGCGGGACGCTGTCCCGCCGCTCTGCAGCAAGGCGGGCGGTTTCTCCCGCAGGCCATTTCCAGGGCAGCGAGAGGAAGGAGGCGCCTGCCCGCCCTGCTGCCAGCACTGCTCCCACGGGCGGTACCGCGTGTGTTTGCGAGGATGGATGCGAGGCGAGTGCGAGTGAGGGAAGGGACGGAAGCTATGCTTGAGCTCACAGGGTAACAGGCACCCTTCTGTTCGGTTATTAATTCAGCGTGGAAAAAGTGCGTTTGGTATGACATGTCTGCACTGCCGTGTGAAGCTGCGTTACGCGCGTTTTGCCGTGTTCAGATGTACATACGTCCAAAAGAGTGAATAAAAGCAGTGTGTTCCAACCCGTGTCTGTCCTGAGATCAGTCTTCCAGACTCACAGTCTTCCAGAGCCACGGCCGCAGGAGGCTAAGCACCGTAGGGAAGCGCTCCAAGTATTTCTAGCAAGTAAACTAAAGTTTAAAAACCCTTGAGACCTGGAACAGATTAAAATGAAAGCGACTGGGGGGCGATGAGCAACTCTCCATTGCACGATCTGAACACCGCGGTCTCCAAACAAGGGCCAGAGGGCAGGGCGATGAGGTAAGCGACGAGGAAAGCCTGGACCGCAGCAGCGTCAGGACTGCGCAGGGCAGCTGAGCCGCGCTCCACGGGGAGGGCCCTTGGCTCAGCCGTGGGGGAGAGCCCAGCAGCAAGGCGCCCTCCACAGAATGAGAAATACAGCAACCTGCAAACCCCAGGCGGCTCCGGTACAGGGAGAGGCCGAGAAATACGGTACCAGCGAGGAACAGCGAGAATACAAACCTTTATTAAAAATAAGATCCTATAAATAAAGCAGGAAAGCAAAAGCCTTTTTCCACTCGCTTCCTCCCTGCACAAATCAGTCGCTTCAGGTTACTTCCATGGCACGAGTCCTTAGTGAAGAGTACGGAGCTACAGCAAAGTCCGTGCTGGAAAACAAGGGATCAGGCCAGGTAACACAACTGCATGGAAGCAACACGGAAAGAGAATTTTCTTGGCCATCTATGAAAAGGCAGACATCCAGAGTGCCTGTAAATCGCCAGCGGGTGGGAAGGTCGGGAGGTGTCACACAACTCTTCCACACCTGGAAGAAAGAGAACTCGGGCTGCGGATCACCTCAGGCCTCGCTCAGCAGACCGCTCTCGAGGCCGAGCCCACCGACGCCCCGAACACTGACGGGCACGCCCTAAATGCTGGATGCTGAGGCAGGGGACTGCTCAAGCCCTGCTCTGGTCTCTCCTCCCGCCAACAGTTTCCTCCACAAACAATTTAAAGTTCTGAGCTAATCTCTTCCTGGAGGCGGCTCACTTCAAGTCAGTCCTGGAAAGCCCCAGCCTAAGCCTACGGCGCTGCCCGCAGCCCTCCGCTAGCCAGGGGGTTTCGCGCTCCGCCTTACCCGACAGCTCCCGATCACTGCACCAGCCTGTAGGTGATGTAGCGGCCCGCGGTCTCGCTCGGTCGTATGATCTTCACTACCTGGAAGACCGACAGAAGGAACTCGTGAGGGAGGGGAGCTGGCGGCCAGGCCCCCCTGCAGGGCGTCGCCGCCCGAGGCAGGCGCGCGCTCAGACCCAGAGAGCGTGGCCGTAAAGCCGTGGCGCTTGGCAGCCACAGAGGCGGCCGGCGCCGCGCTCCCTGCTTCGGCTGGGGCGCAGCGTGGAAGTGCCACCCCCAGGGCCAGGGGAGACGACGGAGCCTGGGGCCGGCGTCGCAGCCGCTGGCTGTCAGCAGCCGATTCAGCAGAAGCCGACTGCTGTCTCCTGGCTCGGCTTACGCACACCTGTACCGAACCGACAACAGGTTTTATGCTTGAAAGAGAAAACTTTCCGCTCCGCAAGAGTTCTGAAGTACTGCAGAGGACCCCAGCTCCGTGCCCTGCCCGCAGGGAACTGTTGCACGAGTCTACTGCTCTCCTACCTGACCACGCTTTATTCCGAAGTACCGGGCCACAGGATCCCCGGCCTGTATCCTCGGGAGCTGGTTCTCTCTCAGCTTACTGCGCAGGCATCAAGGAGAAGCTCCCCCAGCAGAACGCGCCACCGGCCCAGGTGCCCGCTCGTTACCACAGCTCGTGGGACAAAGCAATAAACCGTCGCAGGGGGAGGTATTCGTGTTCGGCCCAAAGCAAGGATGCATCGCACCCAGGCGGGAAGGGAAGGAGCAAACAAAGGATACTATCTGGCCAGCAGCTCGGTTACTTCTTCCTTCGTCATGACGACGTGCTCTGGGACCAGCTGCAACCAACAGGGGAGAGAGACTGTAAGATCAGAAAGCAAAGGAGGCGACCAGCTCCGCACAGCAGCGGGAGAAGCAACATCTGTGAGGAAGAAAACTACGAGGGCATCACCGAGCCTGGCCTTGCAACCGCGAGGCCTCTGGGAGCAGCCCGAGGCGCGGCTCCACACAAAAGCGATCATCCCGCCCTCGCTCCGCTGCCTGACACGGCTCACCTCGTGTTCTGTGATGTTGATCAGAAGCTCTTGCTGCAGGAACTGCTCCAGGATGTACTTGGGAGCCATGTCTACCAGGGACTGAAAAGCGAAAGGGCTGTCAGACCGCGGCGCTGCTCCGGGACAACCCTGCCTGCACTCCGATCCGCACCTCGATAAACCCCGGTCCCTGCGGGCGTGGAATCGCCACGCGCGTGCTCACACGGACGCAGCTACGCAGGCAAAGAGCATACAGATCTCCTGACCGCTGGCAGATATCCTCTCGTCTCTCATCAACCTCTGACTACCGAGGGGCCACCGGCTGCTCTTCCGGAACCAGAACCGGTTGTTCTGGATAAACGCATTTGCACATTAAACAAGAGCCTGGACCAAGGCACAACGGGCTTTAGCGAGAGGTTCCATCCGGAAGGAAATCCCGGGCTTTCGTTAACCTAAAGCAGCGCTGGGAGACGGACAAGCAGAGCGCCCGCGGCGACCCTGACGGGGAGGCAGCCTTCCTTTCCGGGGCTGCGTACCTGCTTCGCCGACGGGGTCATGCCCTGCTGCACCACGATCAGCGCCCTGGTGATGTTCTCCTCCTGCATCCTCTGGCAGTACATCTTGATCGTCTTTATTCCAACCTTGGGCTCCTCTGGGGAAGGATTCGGCCCCAGGGTTACCGAGGGCCCCTCTCGCCCCGCCGGCCCCTCGGGAGCGCAGGGCCGTCCCTCCCGCCAGCCCCGAGGGGCCCCGGGCCGCGCTCACCCGGGAAGAAGACGAACATCTGGTCGGTGGGGTCGTCGTTGTGGGCCACCAGCACCGTCAGGTCGGTGCGCCGCGGCCGGCCCTCGCTGGGTTTGTCACCGAACTGCGCCTTGAACTCCTCCAGCGTCTGGTCCAGCTCGTCCTGGGTCA